CACAGAATAGATATAGGGCAGAAGGTTCACTCAAGGGTAAAAAGTGTGCCAGAATGTCAGCCGACTTCCGGCGTGGCCGCCATGTTGAAAGCAACCAAACCAGAGGAAATTTTATAGGAGTTAATATGGTGGAATACGAAATAGAGCCACTAAAAGTGCTCTAGCTTTTTATGTATCCAAGCAAAACTCATGATATTTTGAAATATCATAAAGAAGAGGTTGTTCTTTGATTTAATTGTCACTACGAGGATGAGAAACGAATTTAAGCGTGGAATTTGGCCATTGTCATACATCGATTAATTTCACCTCGGTCTTTGGCGAATAGTGATAAACATATAAAGTTATATAGCTTATGTGTGGTTAGTCCGATCGCCGTAAAATATGTTTTGAGTGATAGGTTGGTGATATTTCATGGTGTACAAAAGGATTAAGGACGTGAATGCCATGAACAATGAAGGAAATAAATCGAGTTAATCGAACCTTCTGTGATCAACTATTCAATACAGTGTAATTCAACTTGACATATTGGCCTACAATCGTTTAATATAAAATAATATTGCGATATGAAAGAAATTGCTGGACCTACTTCTTCTTCAAAAATGAATTTTAGGGATAATATATTGACTTGAACCTATTGAAATCCTTTGGCTGTGACTTTACAAATTTGGTATCACAAGTGACAAGGCCTCCCATGACATTATCATGACTGTTCATTGATATTGGAAAAATAGTTTAAAGATCAATGCTTGGATGAATCAGGGAACTTCATTTACAAAACAGACAATAAAAGACCTGATTTATCTTAACGACAGTTTAAATTATAAATCTGTGAGATTCTAATATACACTCTAGTTTTTAAGATACATATTAACAGTTTACTCTACAATGAGGGGAAAATAATCTGAATATGAGAATTTTCTCTGTTACTCAAGTTTATGTTACATTTAGCACCAAGTATATTATTGTTGCTATCACCTTAGGGGCTGTTTACATGAGCCTGGCTAGCCATGCAGGCTGGCCCAGTTAACCAGGCTGAAGGCCTGGCTAGCCAGGAGGTTACCTGAGCTGGTGACTTTACATGGAGAAATTTCAGCCCGGTTATCCGGGCATCCCATTTGACTCAAGTGAGATCTCGGCTAGGCAGATTCTTGTTAAATGATTTGTATTAAGCTGGGTGCCTCGGTTAACAGGACTAGTCGGGCTCATGTAAATAGCCCCTTAGTTATTAAGACTTGTTGGCAGAGTAAAATATATCAGGCAATAAAACTGGTTTCAACTTGCAACAAATCGGATGTTGGTGCATGTAAGTTGTTATTAAGACTTGTTGGCAGAGTAAAATATATCAGGCAATAAAACTGGTTTCAACTTGCAACAAATCTGATGTTGGTGCATGTAAGTTGTAATGTTGTTTTTACAAAGGGAACCAAGTAAATGAAACTTTAACATCTAGTGTATTCTACTATGTACAAGTTGTACAACCCCAAAAATGTAAACAACACTTTGATTTGATTTTAGTTCCATAAATCCATATTTTTTATCCATATTATCAATCCATATTTAATTTGATTTTAGTTCCATAAATCCATCATTTAGTTCCATAAATCCATCATTTAGTTCCATAAATTTGAGTTTAGATCCATAAATCTATTAAGATGTGCAACTGTCCTACATGCACAAATGCCATCCAATGTAATGACCTAGATGATAACAGGAAGCAGTTTTGTTTCTTCAAGGCCTTTGATCAAACAGAAAACACATTTGAAGGTCTTCATGTTCCAACAAATTGCTTTCTGGACTACATCATGAAAGATACAAAAATTGTTTTTGAGGTTGTGCATTTACTACAGCTTGAAATTTGCCAATCGTGAACTATCCAACACTAAAAAGAAGAACAGAAAATATTTGAAGGTAGCGCATCTTTAACCATGTGCACTGGACAATATGCTGTGTTGCCAAAACAATTAATCAATATAACTTCTACAAGTTATATTGCTTAAAATCTTTTACACCAAGTACATAAGAACTGAACTGTAAGATACAAGGCTGGTGTTAAATCTAATATTGATGGTAATCATACACAGGAGAAATTACTAATATGTTGCTACACTGAGTAAATTTATACCAGGCAAGTAAGAATGCAGCCCACAACCCCTGGTTTACAAGACCAATGCATTCCAGACTGAGCTACACAGTTTGAATGTGCAATATTTTATTATTTTGGAGCTTAATTAGTCTCGCTCCTTCACTAAGATGGTAAACCTAACAATGCCGATGGTAATTGATAACAGGTGAAATCATTAATTAAGATGGTGCTTGCTGAGTAAATTTACATGAGATTGGTGTGTTGCAATTTTGGGTCATGAACTGTAACTTCTGGCAAGTTAGTGTGCTCCACCATCAATTGCTTGATACAGATGTGAACAAATATCGTACTCATTACTGTTACCAGCAATCAAAGTTTAATATCAAAGTTACAAATTATAAACCAGTTCTGGTGAAAATAGATTCTACTCGCGCAGTTTACTTAGTTTAGTCCAAAAACGTTTTTGTTAATTAAGAAAAGAAGCCCAATACAAAGACATCACATCCCCTTTCACTGATCAGGTATATAATTTAGTACGAATAGTAGTACGAATTATAAGGATATTCACAGTATAATATGCGCCTAAAATTAAAAAAATTCAACCTACTGCGTTCTAAAAACAAGACATGACGCATTTTTCTTCAAGTTAAGTGGAATAGTAGTTGCAATAGTTTCAAACTACACTCAGAAAAACAACATATAAACAGTGGCGTAGCTAGCGGTCCCGCTGTCCCGCCCGGCGGGACTAAAAATTTAAAAAAAAATAACGAAATGTAATATAGTGAAACCAAAATCACAACTTTGCTTATTTTGAAAATTTAAAGATTTATTATCATAGTTTTTTTAACGCTTTCAAGCCTTTCACTTGTTGTTTATTTGAATATCACGCAATAATGCTGCTTAGCTGTCTGCTCTTTGACCTTTTTGTTGCCTAGCAACTAATTTCCACGCAGTTTATTGCTTACTTACGCAATTCGCGTAGTCGCATATTTCGTGTTCCGCTGATTTTCATATGGCGGAATATGCAATACTATCTTATACAAGAAATTCTGGTTTCTGGTTGGATAATTGGCGCAGCGCATGCCCAGAACGGTTGTTTTTAATGCCGAAGTCCCGCTATTTTATAGCCTGCGAACAGGCTCACTGGGAGAAAGGTGAGCCTGCACGGAACCATGCGTTTTATTCATTCATCCCCTTTTCGCATCTGCTAAACGCTAACCAATCAGCGTCGACTGCGATAAATAAACTGTCAACTGTCAAATTGACGCAAGGCGTGTACATTGTGCAACATGAACAATAATAATACAAAGCATTAGCGGGCCGCACAATATATTACTCGGAAAAATATAGAATTCTTCAAATATTAAATAGATATCAATACACATACAAATATAAAGCCGAATAAACTACCATTGGCTTTGAATGTACAGTAATACTTGTACTATGTACGACTGAAAGAACAATGTTCTGAATATTTTGAAGCTATTACTAAAATACGGTCAGATAGATTGGGATTTGGAATACCGAATACGTTTAAAATTTTACTAACGGTGGTCTAAATAAATGATAAATGAGCATGTATTTATTAATTTCTTCGAAATCACGAGTGTGCCAATAGTGGAAGCCGTATCGACGACGAAATTGTCAGCAGTTAATATACAGTAAACAGTACAACGTTTAATGTACGATATATATATTTATCTAAATGACATGCCAGCGAGGATCGACAATATAATTATTCGTACATATTTTGGTATCTTTTGTATGCCTTCGCTTGCTGACTTGCTCACTAATGAGAATAATCCGTGAAGCCACGACGACCTCAAAATGTACTATACTATGGTCTGATGTCAATCCGAAGACGAAGTTCAGAATACTGTTATAGTTTCGTATATTGGATTTAAGCGATAGATTCAAGTCATTTATGATAGACTTTTTTGCTGTGATGCTTTGTTATTGCTTTTGGTTTCCATTTCTAGTTTTATTTGTTCGATAGTCCTATAATATATAATATTAAAATGAATAAAGTTCAAATTCTTCAAAATGCTGTTGTTGACATTTGCTATTTTTAGTAATTTTGTCAACGAGTGTAAGCCAATCAGAAGCCTGCGTTTCTATACGAACGCCACTACCAAGAAAACCTATAGTTCCGTGCAGGCCCTCTATTCTTCGCGCCGCCCGCAACCCAGGGCC